AATCTTCCTAACCCGCATTTACACTGAAGTTTTCTAATGGGTATGTCTTCAGAAAAAATTCTATAACCCTTTTGAGTTACCAGTACTTCAGATTTGATCATTTTTCACATTAGCATTCTTACTTTTAAATATAGGGCTTAACTCCAGACGACGTCACGTCCAGACCAATAAAAATCTAGTTTTCATACTGGCGCTCTCGCAAACAAAACCAGGTGATAAATTGCCAAAATTTCATCAAACTATGAATCGTTCCGAAGCTTTTAAGATGGAGAATCAGAAAACTTTAACCCAACGTTGAAAAGTTCCTCATTGGGACTCGTTTTTCCAGCACGGGTCACAAATTCTTAAGACAAATCAAAGGCTCAGCGTTCCTCGAAGGGCCAGAAATGACAAAAATGTCAACGTTTAGGTTGAACCTCGACTGGGTTTGTGTTGTGAACGACTCTCAGGCGCGACCGCATCAGCGTTTACCTAAGAATTTATAAAGCGGACTGGATTATCACAATTAGTTTGTGTTTTCGAAGGCGAGTTGGCTGCAGCACTGGTAATTAGAACTACTGGCACTACTTCGGGGTTTTACTGGACCTCTGCGTGCGTTCCCTTAGCGCAGAAGACTTCACAGTCTCCTCCGTGTGGACGCTCCAGAGCCGTCAGTCTGGGTTCCTTCAAAGTGCTGCCTGCAAAGGATTGTGGGATGCATTGGCTGTGGTGTCAACATCCTAAACACTGTGCATTAATTAATTAATCACCATAAACCTGAACAGATGGCCTACATGTTGTTTATGAATATTTACATAAAACCGTAAGACAATGCTCTTCTTATCTATCGTTTTATTTTTAGGGATCGATCTTGCAAAATAATTAAATATTTACAGTTTTTTTCCATTAATAGGTGTAATAAATTTGGGCGCATAAGGCAAACATATTTTAGTTGTTCATTGACAGAACTCTCACACAAAACAAACGTGACAGGAGTCAAACGTTTCCATAACAGAGCGATAAATGCGATGAATAACTGACAAATTGTAAAAAACTTCTTAAAAATTTGGAATTGTAAATTGCGTACGTAGCTCCATTTAACCATTTTTATCGTCCGGATTGAGTAACGTAGCCAAAGGAACGCTGTAATCAGCTGGTTATCAGTCGGTGCTCAGCCTGGACTGTAATGAGCTGCAGCTGTGGACGTTGGGTTTGTGTCGTACCTCAGCAGGAGTGGTTACCTGAACAATCAGGCTGGTTGGGCGACATTTGAGCAAACACAGGAGTCTGACTCCCAACAATCCCCGACACGAGACACAACCACTACTAGAAGAAAACTGATAACAAAGAAACGAGCAATTAAAAAACAAATACTGGGAATGACGTGTGGTTTAAAAACCAACAAGGACAACACTGTGATTCTGAAAAATAAGAGCATTCACGCTGCAGGTTTTAATGCTCAAGTCAGACCTTTATTTTATGAAATCAGATGTTTGTTTGTTGGCATGCCCGTTAAGGTTAAAATTTAAATGTGACCTCCAACAAAATACAAGTGTGAACCACCAACACAAGCTATCTGCACGAAAGACGACGTGACGTCACGCGCTGCGTTTACAGAATATGAACGCTACACGCGTTAGCATGTGTGTACTGGTTCTGAAGCCGTTGTGCAACCTGAACCGACTAAGTTATTATCCAACGTGACAGCTTCATCCAGCATTTACATTCGATACAGCCACTTCCCGCTGACACCAACGCAGAACTGCAAAGTAGAAACAAACTCAAGTATCGATAGCGTTAGCATCGATATGATACAATAACGTTGGTATCATATGCTGGTGTAGATTCGTAGATATCTAGGGGAAGCTGTGGCTGAATGGTTAGAGTAGTCTTCCTCCAATGGGAGAGTTGGGGGTTCAATTCCACGAGCTGAAGTGTCCCCGAGTAAGACACTGAACCCCTCATTGCCTCCGATGTGTGTCCCATCAGTGTATGAATGTGATAAAGCTCTGATTAGTCTGAACAGATTCAGATTAGCTAGATGTAGTCGAGCGCTGGATGAATGGGTAAAAGAGGGCACAGATTGTGTTGAGTATCTTGATTAGATAGAAAGGCGATATTTAAGTAGAGATCATTTACCACTTAGAACATGGCAAATATAAAAAAAAAGAAATCAAACATCTATTCTGTAGCTGAAGATATGAAGAGATCAGAGTTTTAAACAGCACACGGTTGGTATCAGTTTAATACTTGGATTAATCTGCGTACATCACTGATGTAAAAGTCAGAAGAAATGCAACACGGCCGTTCAGACTGAGGCCAATCGGAAAAAAAAATTGAAAATGTATCCGATTTAGTACCACATATGAAAATAATTAAAAGACTGAGGTCGGATACGTCACGTTCAGGTGGTCATGAAATAAAATTAAAAATGGCCAAAAAAATAAACCAATCTGGGACACTTTTGTCCAAGGAGAACCCAACAGAAGGATAACATAAATAAAAATCTATTTTGTGGTTGTTGATTTTTCTTCTTCGTTGCTCCACTTAAAGTTGAATCATCAACAGCCCGTGCGTTAAAAGTACCGTTTCTGTAAGCGTTCCTCAAGGACACAACAAGGTTACTTCCTGTAAGTGAGCGTTAGAAGATTTATCTGTCCCACTACGGTTCTCTGCACAACTGGAACAAAGAAATAAAACAATTATGGGGCTAGAATTACCTGAACGAATGCATATCACCCACTAAAATCCTCTTGTTCTTAAATGTGAAGAAAGTAGTTGTTTTAGTTTAGCAACAAGTATACACAATCTCACGAGATGACGTGTTGCTCGTTAGGCCTTGGATTATATGCTGTGACTCTCAGATACTACCAAGCCAAGTTTTAGCTCAATATATGCTTAATTTATGGGTTATAACCATTTTTGTGTAGGATAAGGGGGATTAGTTGTGGCAGCCATCTAGAATTTACTCCAAAAGTTTAGTTCTAGACATTCAAGCAAGAAAGAAAATCTGAACGTTGCATTGAAATTTGTCCGGTGGTTCGTGAGATATTTTGCTAACAAACTAACAAGGTTAATGCCATGTTTTAGGCAAAAATGCTGTGCACGGTGTTCAGCTACAATCACGCCAAATTTTAACTCCGAAGCTGTAAAATCAGCTGAATTGCAGCCATTTTTGTGCTGTCTAACGTCAGCCGGCTGTGGCGGCCATCTTTATTCCAAAAGGTCATCAGCTGTAGTCGTACATTCAAGAATCGCTTTCTGAAACTTTCAATAAGATCCGTCAAGCAATTCATAGAACATTTTGCCAACAGACACACACACACACACACACAACAGGCAAAAACATTATCGCTCTTCCTTTTCCCTCGACGGCGGTTGACGAGTGGCTGTAAGCAGGTCCCAAGACAAGTTCGGCCCTCGACAAAAACAACAAGTCAAACTGAGCGCGCAGTATTTTACCGCCACAAACAACCCGCCCATTAAACCGAGCCGCAGCGAGTTGTTGGTCGATAAGCTCATTTCTTGACAGCAGACAGGAAGCGTGATACAGCAGGCAGACACAAGGAGCTACAGAGGCAAACGTGCACAACCCTGAGCTGGGCCTGCAGCGCGTCACAGGAAACGGTGTCGTGACTCTGCGATCCTCATCACCTCAGGCCGTTCTGTCCTGAAAACAAAACTCGAGACTCGTCACCTGAATGTGACTCCAGAGGCCTCACAACTGGATGGAAAAAATGAAACCAAAAAGTTAAAATGAAAGAAAAGCTGAAAGTGCCTGGATGGATTTCTTTTAAAGAAAAACATTTCAGAGTATAGCTAAAGTGTAATGTTTCTGCCCGTGCTTGTTAGCAAAACATCTCAGAAAAATCAGAAAGTGAGCAATGGATGCAGGTCTACAACGTATTAAAATTAAAACCACAGCCTCTGCCAACTTCGCACATAAGCTAAAATTGTGTGTGGTGGTGGCTGAACATCAACCCCCATTGCGCAACATTTTCTATTAAAACTGGCTTCAACTCTGTCTGTGTTAGCCAAATATCTCCTGAACCACTGGATGGATTTTAATGAAATGCTCAGGAAGTATAGCTGGCTGTACGTCTATGACGCATTAACATTTCGAGTCAACACTATTTAAATGGTCACCACAGATCATAGACAACACAAAAAGGCTACAACTCTGTTAATTTCGCAGTTATTAAGCTAAAATATGGTGTGGTAGTTGCCAAGAGTCATCCTCAAAACACACTCTGAGAGCCAGGTCTCACAGTACAGCACAAGATAAACCCATCACTCCTTGTGGAGAACGACTTGGCCTTTTATTTACACAAGATTACAGCTGTGAGCCATAAAAACAACATGAGTTAGCTGGACTTGACACCATACAAGAGAGGTATTTAAGAGTGCAATCTGTTAGGCATTAACTTCGAGCTGACAAGCAGGAAACGCCACTTGTTTCTGTCATTTTGTTGAAACATGGGTCAGATACGAGCAGTCAAAACAGCAATCCAAACCAAAAAGACAAGACTGTGCAGGATTTTGAAACTTGTCCTCAGGAGAGTCAATGACATGGCAGCTGTCCTGATAAACAACGAGTCTCCTGACTCTGTACGTGCTGTCCGGACAGAAACAGACATCTTCCAGTGGATCAAACCCTTAAAAGAAGTCGTACATTTCCACGACATTCTCGGACACTAACCGAGATGCTAATTCAGCTGCTACACGTTTTGGCGCTGGAAGTTCGTGTGCCCGCTTTTATTTGTTCCTTAAATTAAAAAAACAGAAACGTATAAACACCCACTAAAGTGTGTATTACAATAAACCAAAGGGTTAAGTGGTTAAAGAGGTCGCCAACAGCCGTCGTGCAGCTGGATTGAGAGGGGCGCTGTTGTAGCTCCTTTAAGCTAACAAAGCTAAAGCTAACAACCTGAACAATCGAACACAGAAACTCTTTGAAAACCGCAAAACACCGCGATAAAAGCGACAATATTAGGTTTAAATGTAAGATTTGGTGTTTTTACCTGCAGTTCGGCCCGCTCCACTTCCCACTGTGCCCTTTCCACTTCGAAACGGGCCCATTCGTGCTGCAGGAAGTGCAAGATCCCCGGGATGCTATACTGCGCTCGAGCCGCCTCCCCAGCGTCGCCATCGGGCAGCGGTCCCTTCCCACCGCCGGCTAAGACAGAGTTATTATTGTTGTTAAAGAACACGCCGGGCCCTGCCTGTTCGTCCATGGCCGGGCTCGGTGGAAAAGCTCTTTTCGTCGCCTTGCTGACTTCGGCGTAATAGTTGCAAACAGAAGTGTAAAAAAAATACAATAATTAAAAAAAAATAAACTACCGACGGCACCCCGTCTTCTC